ACTGATTGGTTTAGCACAGTTCTGGGTGTGGGTAATGGACTTACTGAAGAGAGAAGCCCCAGCCTGGGTGTGGGTGACACCAACCAATAGGTTTGCAGCCTGGATGGAATAAAAAGGGAAAGGAAGGCTCGCTGCTTCCTGCCTCCTGCCTGCTCTGTCATGGACTGTTTTTTCTCAGCCATGCCCCTTTGCCTACAGGCCAAGGATGCTGGCAACATCAGGAGCTGAGGGACCAGCACTCCCATCAGCATCTCCCCTACAGCCTTCTGAGACAGGGTGGTCCTGCTGATGCCTTGGTTTTAGATCACAATCCTCCAGCTCTCCCCAGTCTCCAGAACTATGAATGCAGAGGACAAACCTGACTGTGTCATTCCCTTGCTGAAAAGCTTTTCCTCTCTGCAGGACAAAGACCAAGCACCTCATACGCTTTGTCAGGCCCCACCCAACCTGCCAGGATAGCTGCCAACATCCTCCCCTCCACTTCTCTCCCTGAACACTGACACACATACCCTCCCACCCCTGCCACCACACTACCCTAGGTCCAGCGAGTGGCCCTCATGCACTGTAGATGATCAGCAGGTGATAGAGGCCGTTCACCACAGAAGGCCCAAGCTCAGGCAATCCAAAGCCGCCTCAGGCAGGCCAATGGCTTTGGGATAATCACACCTGCAGCACAAGCACGGTGAGGGGAGTCTGCTAGGCACTATGTATCAGGCTCTACCAGTTGGTAGTAAAAAAGCCTCTATTTGCTTTCTGCATTCACTCTGAAGCTTCATTCAATGAATTATCAAATCATCTACAATGCACTTAGTGCTCTGCCTGGCTTAGGGACACAGAGTATAGTTGCTATACTGGGTTATCTGGGGAATAAAAAAAAAAGTCTGTAAATGTTCAGTAGATGCAATTGTTTTTCCTGAATGTTTTCAATCTGTAGTTGGTTGAATCCACTTGGTTGGGGGTGGTGGTAATAAGCCTGGCTCATCCTCATCTATCAAATGGTTCAGTCCAGTTAGGGAAATGACCAACACACCCATCATCCTTCATGTGTCCCAAGGCAACAGATGACATTTTAGGGTTTACTTTACAAACTGCAAGACTTCAGAGAGGGAAGTGATCTTTGCTAATGGGTCAGAAAAGGGTCCCTGGAACACTGGGGACTTCGACTAGGCCTGGCGAATGCAGATGACTTAGCCAGTGGGAGGAAGGGAATTTTCTAAGGACATCACAGACAATGGCCCAGATGTAGAAGGACAGTCCTCACTACTGCTGGGGGAACCTAGGGTGTGAGGCACTATTCTTATTCTGTTCACTATTTACACAGGGCTGGGTTAGAACCCAGGACCTCATGAGTGCTACGCAAGTGCTCTACCACTAAACTCCACCTCCACCCCTTAGTGCACCATTCTTGATTATTCTGGGTCACAAAAGGGAGTGTAGCAAGATCTGGAATCTTGCTAGAAATGCAGAGTCCTGGGCCTGGGATTTAGCTCAGTGGTTCCGCCACCTTCTTCGCAAGCGTAAGGTCCCGAGTTCGATCCCCGGTCCAAAAAAAATGCAGAGTCCTGGGCCTTGCCCCAGACCTGCTGGAAGAGATGCCCTGGGCACGGGGGAAGGGCCCCCACCTGTGTTTTAACAAGTCTTCTGGGGGGTTTGTGATGCAGGCTGCAGTGTCTGGGAAGACTCATACGTGAGCTCACAGTCTCTGTTCCTAGAGAGGATGCCTTGAAATACTGTCTAGCAAGAATCGCTTCTCTTAGTTCTTAACATGACCTAAAAGAGGCACAGGAAATCAAGGACACTGCACAGACATGCCATCAGTCTGCCAGAAAGTCACTCAATTACACCTGAGACCTAGAAAAGGCTGTTATTCAAGAAGCAGCAGAAGTCTAAAGTCATGGTCCCGTGGGACAGGAAATTCTATATACCGAAGATGAAGACAGTGATTTAATTGTTCCCTAGGACCCAGAAATAATAGTGTACATACACCTATGTCCCTTGCCCCTCCCCCATCATCCTTCAGTGACTGTTCTGTGGACAGCAGTCATTTATTTCCACACCCCTGTGACAAGGTCTGCACACTCTTTTGTATCACAGGCTTCTGTACTTGGAGACCTCCAATGATTCCCTGTGTTCCTCCCTCCTGCCAAATGAAGGCTGGCTCTATTCTAATTTGTGTTGGCTCCTCCGCCCCTTGTTAAGTAAACTAGGACTCTGTCTGGCCGGCGCATTTACAAAGAGAAAAATAGAAGGAATCAAAATGAACTGGAAGGAGAAAAAGAGGGGGAGGTTCCCTGGAAGTCTAAAAGTAGGAACCTAGGCTGGTCTTTTTGGCTGGGACTTTCTGTACCACATGAAATTATGACAATGACTTAATTGCTCTGGCTGGGTTACACCCAGACAACTGGAGGAGGGGCAGGCGGGCAGGGCCTCCTGCCTACCTAACCTGCCCTGCAGAAGCACCTGGGATGAGCGCAGTGACGGCTCGGAGGCTTTCCTTCCTCAGTCTCCCCAGGGTAGACAGGGCAGTTAGTGTGTTTGGGGTTGCAGAAGGTGCAGCGATAGACTCCTGAATGCCTAAGTTCAAGTCTTGTTTCTGTCTAGATTCTGTGTGCACTCAGCCATTTAATGGCAACTACGTGCCTGAACTATTTTATACAATGGTGGAGAGAACGATGAGCAAATAGATACAAAGAATCTCCTTTGGAGGAAAACAATGTTACACTATAGGGTTCCTCCTAGACTATCGTTAACATAGTATCCTTAGCATCCCTCTTTCCCACATCCTGGAATTAATATCTATTGATTGGCTTGCCTGCCCTGGTCCTCTGTCTGCAGGAGGTGGCATTCACAATGGCCAATGCCACGCTGCCGCTTGGCCACGGGAGAAGACCCAGGCCAGATCAGTGGATTCTCAACCCCAGAAATTTATAGTGGAAAGACTCAAGACTCCTGCGCTACCTAGTGGTTTTCACTAGGAGGCAATTTTGCTCTCGGGGGACTTTTGGCAGGATCTGGTTATCACACTAAGAAGGTACTATTTTCTCAGGAGCGGAGGTCAGGGGTACAGCTAAACATCTTCCACTGCACAGCACAGACCCTCCACGACAAACACTATCTGGCCTACAACATCGGTCGTGTCAAAGCTGATAACAGGACAGGAGGTGACGGGTCCGAGGAAGAGCCAGCTACCCCACACCTGCAGCTGATAATTACCAGGGGAGACTAGGGCCTCGGGTTGTCAGGTCTGATTTTCTAGAAGCTGGAAACCTTGGTTTTTATGTGGAATCTGATTTTTCAATGCTGGCTCAATTTACAAAGAAAGGTTTGAACTAAATAACTTCCAGTCTGGAAAGAGGCTCCAATTTGTTCAAGCTCCTGACAGCCACCTAGCTGGCTGTTCCCATGCTCAGTAGTGTGACCAGCTCGCAATGCTTTTTATAAGTTCTTGCCTGGGTTCTCTGCTACGTGAGCTCCCAAAGCCTTAGTCAGCACACAGCTCCTACCTCTGTCAAAAACTATCCACTTGATTTCTTTCTTGAACACTCTGCCTTTACAAATAATGCTTCAATGCTGTTAATGAAAATACTATCAGCACACTGAGACTGAGAGTCATCAACAAGGGAAACACTATGCACTGAGCCACCAGTGGACCATTAAGGACCGGGGTGGCTTGGTTCATAGTGATTCTGAGCATGGGCAACAGAAAAGCCCCGGAAGAGAAGTGCTGTCAGACTAACAAACTTGCAAAGAAAGGGAAAAAAGCCAAGGGGAAAGTCTCAGGCCGGAGCACAATAACCTCTCACCGTATTAAGAATTCAGCGTATCCAGGAGGGTGGCCACTCTGCCCTGCCACTCTGCTCTGCCACAGGGCGGCTGTGGTGGGCTTTACTGAAGCCAAATCGCTGCCCTGAGTCCTTGCCAAGGCTACCTGACCCTCATAAAAGTCCTTGAGGGCAGAGCAAGGCCATTTGTCCTCCGCTTTCAAAGGCTTCCTAGACAGCCAGCACCCATCACAAACAATTCTACACTCCACTCCAGACTAGAGGCCAAAATGCTAATTAACCGATCCCTCAGCCTGCCAAAAATGTGTGGCACTCTGTTCCCAGCAGTGTTAGAGAGAGGAGGGGAGAGGGAGAGGGAGAGGGAGAGAAAAGCCAGGAGAAACTCTGGTGTTACAACCATGTGAGCGCTTACACCTGGTCACATTTATCCTATTTTATCCCTGAGCACTTCTTGCCAATATAAACTCATCTCTGAATTACAAAATTGACTTCATCATGGGTGACTGGATACCAAGTATCTTGCTTTCAATGGCAGACTTCACAGAGGTTACACGAAGTCTTCAAGGTCCGTCCATTTCAATATTTCTATGAAAGCACTGCATGAGGTAGGGAAGATCTCATACAAAGCAAATAATGCATGCTAAAAGTTCAAACTATAGTAGGGAAATAAATCTGGAATCAGCCCATGTACCTGCAGAAGGTGGTATTGCTAAGATACAGCTTCTAAATGCTCATAACTAACTTCCCATAGCTTGATAAGCAGCAGAGCTAAATAAAACAGTAGTCCAAGGGTATTCCTGATTGCTAAGTAATAATTTTGCCAGAATTGGCTTCTCCACTAGGCAGAGAAAAGGTGCATCTGATGTGTGTAATCTGACATGCCAAGTAGAGCATTATACATTCCAGTCTTACTCCATGTGTCCATGTGTCCAGCCAGCCAGCCAAGCACCCAGTACCTATGATGTGCCAGACACACTGGAACTAGTTGGGACCCAGGGAGGACCAAGACAGGTACTTTACCTGCCCTCCTAGGGCGCACAGCCCACTGAGGCAAACAGACAAGCCATCAGGCAGTTCCAAAAGTTGGACTGGAGCCCCGTGGTAAGATGTAC